CCGGGGTGGTGCTAGGGGTGCTGGTAAGAGCAGACACCGCTAGCACTCCCAGGGAGGCTCCATCTATTGGTGGGGAGCGGCACCTGCTGGAAATCAGGTCCAGCGTCCGCTCCCGGGGTGGTCCACCTGTTTTGAACATTATAATGGTTTTCAAAACAGTACATGGCAGCATTGATAACTTTCTTTCGGAGGAGGATTAGGATGCGCTACGGTACTGTGTGTAAATGATGGTTTTTTTTTTCTTGACTTGCCGGGTGAATAGGAACCGGACTGCCGCTCCCCAGAATGGAGATATGAAGCCAGGGCCATAAGGACCTGGTTTTTTTCTTTGAAAAAAAAAAAAAAAAAAAAAAAAGGGTGGATCTGCGAAGGAGGAGATCAGGGTTGTGAGGTCATACGGAAGGCAATAGATGTTGTTATAGTTTGGCAGTCGGCGAAAAGGTGATATCTTGCCAGGCAACGTGGACGGACATTTATTTAGGCTCATGGTAGGGACAGAAAACAGAGGAGAATGGAGAAGAAGAGTGTTTACAAAACTGGTTGAGGATTTGGAGCAGCAGACAAAAAAAAAAAAAAAAGAGAACTCGTGCATAAGAATTTGAAAGAGCGATGGCTCTTCGACGGAAAGATGACAGAAACAAAGGGGCAAAACTCTTTGCGTTTGGTACTTGGGAAGTTGGGAGTGGGGTGGACAAAAGACTCGCCTCTGGGGGAACAGCATGATACACCGGCATTTTTTTTTATTTTTTTTTTTTGTGGGGGGGGGGGGGGGGCGGTTCTTTATTTATTGTAATAAGTGGTAAACTTGGGAGGACTGAAAAAAAAGGACACGAGAACTAGAGCAGGCGTAGCTCAGTTGGGTCACCCATGGACTGTTGAAATTCAGACCCGAGCTCGAATGCATCCAGATGCAACCAGACGAACATATCATTCCGGATTACCTGGGAAGGCATCTGATTACTTACTTCAATGATGATATCTCAAGGTCATCGCCTGTTTTTTTTTTTTTTTTTTTTTTTTAAGGGACAATCGGAGAAGAGCCTTCAAAGCGGAAAGTTTAAGTTTCGCTCATGGCAATCAGGAATAGTAATACCCTACCGTCGTCACACGAATAGAACGCCCGGACATTCTCACCACATCTAGACTGAAAGTTGCACCAAATACAGGGTAAGAGATCTTTTGAGCAAGTGGCAAATGCATTAGAAAAATACTATGATAACCCGCATTCTATTCGTGTGAAGATGAATATGCTGACGGTTCACACGCGGATCGCGCAGTTCACAGCAGAGAACCGAGCGGGATATTCCAAACTGATTTTAACTTTTAACTTTTAAGACTGGTTTGTTCAATGGGCGATGGAGTTGGTACAGCGGAGGGGTTCGACTCAGACTAGTAGGGTTTTTTTTTTTTTTTTTTTTTTTTTTTTTTTTCCTCATGAATATAATATAGATTGTTTGTTTTAAGCCACTTCTACTCCAATGGCTCTCCTTGACTCTCTCCCTTTTATTAATTATCTTTAAAATATATATATCGTCATATATATATATTTCTTATCCTTCAAGTCTCCATATCAGATCTGTCAGCTATTTTGTCTTGAGAAATTTGCCAAACAAAAGCATAAAATATAGCTAATTCTATCACACCATAAATAGGTAAAACACACAAAAAACTGTCACTGGTCCTCCTGTTATAGCACAACTACTATTCTCCCTCAACAGCGGCACTGTTGATTTTTTTTCCCCTTCAGCTGTGTCATCCATTCACAGGGGCCACGATAATTAAACCTCCAGTACTTGGCCCAGCTATCGGCCGCGGGCCTTCCCCCCGCTAGCGCGGCGCGGCATTCGGGCTTCGGCCTACCGGACCGCATTGGCTGGAGGCCACTGCCAAAATGAAAACGAAAAAGACCGACAGCGGTTCGCCCGGACTTGGCGCGCAGGGGGCTGGGAGGCTCAGATTCGATAGCTGGGCCAAGTACTGGTGCTTTAATCTTCTGTGTTTCATTCCAATTTCAACGGAAGTCCCAAAGGATCGCAATGCAGGGTTCTTTTTTTTTTTTTTTTCAAGACGGGACTGTAAATTTCAGGCTCGGGGAAATGCAAATTTTGATTCGTCAAAGCAGAAGTCCGGATGCAGTCGTCGTTTAATGAGCTCCCTTCTGTCAAGAGGGGGCAGGCACCTGCTGCTGGAAAAGGGGTCCCACATCCATTTAACAAAACAGCTAGCTACCCCCCCCGGCACGGTGCTTTTCCGCGCTCCGGCCCAAGGAATGCAAAACTTGTTGTCTTTTTCTTGACCTTTCCCTTCTTTTCGCATTTGCAAAGAAGAATGCTCATTGGTGTTCGTTCCTTCACACAGTCTGCAGTTGCTGTGTTGCAGGTGTCTGGCGCCTTTTGCTTGGTCGATGAGGCTTTGCTTTTCTGAAGTTGTTGTCATTCTCTGATGAGCTCGAACCAGCAGTACCTTCCGAAGGTGTGCTGGTTAATGTGCTGGCCATGCCGTGCACGTACGGGCCTGCCTGCACCAAGTTGAATTCATTCATGCGCCGTTGATGCCACATCATGCTAATCTACCGACCGCATAGCTGAGAAAGGTATGGTGTTCTAAAGCACCAGTACACCACACATCAGCCTGCGGGCGTCAGAATGAAACCTGCACCACTTCGGAGGCCGCCAATTTTTTTTTTTTTCAACGGCCCCCCACGCCGTGCGGACGCCCGATACCCGCACCACTTCGGAGGCCGCCGATTTTTTTTTTTTCAACGGCCCCCCACGCCGTGCGGACGCCCGATACCCTCACCACTTCGGAGGCCGCCGATTTTTTTTTTTTCAACGGCGCCCCATGCCGCGCGGTCCCTCTAGAGTTTTGCTTGTGGCAACAAAAACTTTCTGCAAGGCTGGGGCCATGTACTTGCGGTTTAAACTCGGGTGAAGTGAAAATGAAGGCAGTATCATACTCTACACTGCACCGGACAGGACCGACAGCGCTTCCCACCCTTTTAGGCTTTAGCCTTTTGAACCCTGGCTGACGTCAGTACCCTGTAGTTCAATCCACGTGAATTAACGTGGGGCATCTCCACATGAATGGACCTGGAACACTCATATGAATGCACCTGGAAAACACACCTACATGCATGCATCTGGAGCACCCACATGACTAGAACATCCAGGTGTGAGGATCTGGAGCATCCAGATGAATGTGTTACCCAAGGCAAGCATTGTACAGAAGACGGAGGAGGAGGGAGGAGGGAGGAGGGAGGAGGAGAAGGAAGAAGAAAGAAGCTTGCAGTTTTTGCTAGATGGGTGCAGGCTGACAGAGGACCATTTGCGCATGTCCCATCGTGTAGAATTTGTAATTTTGCATGTACTATGCGTATGCATTTTCAATTTTTGAATTATTTTTCACAATTCTGCAGGTAATGGTCACGTGGTGAGCGAATCTACGATCAGCAGACTTCTCACTCCGTAATGTGCCCAGTTTCCATCCACATACGCTTGCAAAGCACCAACCAGGTATGGATCCAAGCCTGAAGTCTGTACTTTATCAGCCACAGGACCTCCTCCGTGCAAGCACGGATTCGAACCGGCGCCCTCAGCCTCAAGAGCCGAGTCTCTTATCCACTACAGCCATGACACGGTGTACAAAAGTGGATCCATTCCGGTACAGTGCTCCCGAAGTCCGGTAGACTGCTGTTCTCTCTCTCTCTCTCTCTCTCTCTCTCTCTCTCTCTCTCTCTCTCTCTCTCTCTCTCTCTCTCTTTGACACACACATACTTGTTTTATGGATGGTATGATGATTCAAGAATGGAATGAGAAAGAGAACTTGGGGGGTTTAAACACACACACACACACACACACACACACACACACACACACACACACAGTCGGTTAAAGTCCAGAAAGCAGTCTGGCACAGATATGCTTTTTCTTTGTGGAGTTGTGTACAGCGAACACGACCACACACACGCAGAGTAAGCACGACAACACACACACACAGACAGAGTTCAAACTTTACAAGTCAGAATAATTACAGACGTGAAGACCCAGTGAAGTGGCAGCACTGCTACAAAAATGATCCTTTCCATGGACAATGCCATTCTTGAAAACATGGTCCCTTCATCTCCCCTCAAAAAATGGGTTTTGACATTTCAGTCAGTGTTTACAACAGTAAGTAGATGCAGGACAAGCCAAGCAAGGGGCGGGCGGATTAGCGCATGGGAGCTCAAACCCGAAAGCAACCACTGGGCCACATCATTGAGCAGAGATCCAAAGCAACAACGACAGCTGTAAGATTATGACTGCATGCATGCATGCAATGCCAAGAACTGATTCCCATTCCCTGCACCGTGACAGGCCGTTAAAACTTTGCAAGCATAACAGCAAGCACACTCCAACAACCAGATCGTTTGATTGCTACTGGGTTACGTGATCATCATTACCAATAAATAGCAAGCCAATCGACGGCGAGAGCGCGAGTTAGAACAACTGCATGCATGCAATTTCAAGAACCACATCACAATCTTTACACTGTCATAGACAGAGCACACAACAGGAAGCACACAGTGAGGCCACGATCGTCCGGTTACGACGACCGGGGACAGATCATCAAATGGCTATCTGGAACTGGATCTGGGAGACAGATCATCTGACGGCCATGACGTCCCGAATCTCTGAATTCAGTAAATGGAGGCTACGCTCCAGCAATCACAGACTGCATAGCTTCTGAAAGGCCCTCCGATCGCTACCCATGCCACGTAATCCGGTTTCGATGAGTCTTCGGAAGGACCCTCCAATCGCTACCCATGTCACAGAATGGGGCACAGATCATCCCGTTGCTAGGGAGAATAGACCATCTAACGGCTATCCGAAACCGAATCTTGGAAAGAGATCATCCGATCCGACGGCTTATGAGGAATCGGATCTTTGCATTCAGTGATTGGAGGCTACGCTGTAGCAATTGCAGGTCATATAGCCTTTCTTCCTGGGCGTTTCCGAAAAAGCCCTCCGATCGCTACCCATAGCACACAGTGAGGCCCAGATCCTCCGGTTGCTACGGGGAGCAGATCGTCCAACGACTACGCGGAACCGGATTCTGGAAAGAGATCGTCCCGCCGGCCATCGAGGACCCCGACCCTCCGATCACGACCCATACCACAATTGCTACAACCACCCTGGCAGTACCAACTGCCAATCCATGCGCATATTTCGCCCACCTAACCTTTTTCGCACCAAACAGGGTAATACAGAGGGATGGAATCATGGAACACTTTTGATTGGACAACAACAACAACAACAACAACAACAACAAGGAAGAATGATCGGTTAATTACAGCACAGAAAGGCGAATTTGAAAACCCGTCCGCGAACAACTCTTAGCTCTTCCTTCTAAATTCTAATCATCATCATGTACCCAATTAGTAATTCCACTTGCCGCGCTCATGAAGGGCTGCTTAACAAAACTGAAGTGCTGTGGACATCTTGATTGCTTAACCAAAAACAATGGCTGCACGATCTCGATTATTAAGAGCACGGCTCACATGGCCATGGAAACTGCCACTTCGGACGGCCGCAGCCTTGGTCCATTATCAGGAGCCCCCATTCCCCCAGCCCAGTCCGCGTCTGCCTGTGTGTGAGGTGCCGGTCCTTTCATCACCTTTGCCCTGGTTGCACAAACAAACAAACAAGCAGAGGCAAAGGACAAAGTCAGTCTCAGTCGAGAGCCCCAGTCCCAAGTCCCGGTCCCAATTTCCAGTCCCAAGTCCCAGTCCATATTCCGTCGGTGTCCCTACCAGCCTCCGCATTTCAAAGAAAGAAAAAGGAGGATTACGCATCCATCCATCACACTGCTAACCTCCGAAAGCGATATCTCAACCACCTACTCACCAAGGCATGCACATCACAGAGAACACAGTACAGTACATGCATGAGGGTATTATTGGGAGAAGGGGGTGCAGGAGGATGGCCAGGGAGCGGGCTAGCAGAGGGAGGGAGGGAGGTGAGGAGAAAGGGAGGAAGGGAGGGGAGAGAGATGAGAGAGGGAGGAAGGGAGGGAACGACGGGAAAGTTCATCATAAACTCGAATAACGGTGCGGAAACAATACGGGGACACTGAGGGATCACGGGAAGGAGAGACAACGGGAGAGACAGGAGAGACAGATGTAGGCATGGACAGGATAGACCACCACAATGTGAAATAACCATCGGCAAACCCTCCTGAGACTGAGAATGCGGTCGAAATTCCACTTGCTCCTTCCAGAGTTGGGAGTATATATCAGGCAGGGTCTGCCCATCGCGCCTTTGGTATGCATTCTTTCTCTTTTTTTTTTCCGCCTTCGCTATGTGTCAAATCCAAAGGCATCTGGAATTTTCTGAGAGAATCTGGAAACTGTAAGGTCACCCACTCGCTCACTCACTCACTCACTCACCATCTGAAGCTGACAACCAGACGTGGAATCTGCTAAAGCTTCAGACGGTGAGTGAGTGAGTGAGTGGGTGCCCTTAAAGTTTCCAAATTCTCTCAGAAAATTCCAGCTTCAGGGTTCGAACTCGTGATCCCACGGAGTCTGCTAAGCTTCGGGATTCGAACTGTAAGGGCACCCATGGAATCTGCTAATAAGCTTCAGGGTTCAAACTGTAAAGGGCACCCATGGAATCTGCTACTAAGCTTCAGGGTTCAAACTGTAAAGGGCACCCATGGAATCTGCTACTAAGCTTCAGGGTTCGAACTGTAAGGGAACCCATGGAAAAAAGGGGGTAACCAGTAACATCTTTGCATTCAGGGTTCGAACTGTGAGGGCACCCATGCAATCTGCTAATAAGCTTCAGGGTTCAAACAGAGAAACAAAAGGGGGTATAACCAGTAACGTCTTTGCAATGTTTGCATCCATCTGATCCCATCAGGGTTCGAACTCGTGACCTGTTCACTGCCACCAAGTTACACACATGGGCTGGTTTGAAAACGTCACGTAACCCTTATAGCAGCAGCAGCTGCTAACGAGACAGCAGTTAGCACTGCAGGCAACGACGGAAGGCTCACTGAACGGTCAGTTTTTGACCCCCATTGCCATATTCACCGGAATAGAACGCCCCCGCCCAGACAGTCGCTAGCTGCATGTGCTTCAATGATACATCCATTCGTGCACTTGCACTTGCACGTGTCCAAAACCATTAACTCCCAGACGAGGTTGGAAACACAAAGAGAATGAAAAAGAAAACTGTGGGTGAAAAGAAAGCACGTGCAGACAGCAAGACACGATCGCGGCAGAAGAGGAACGTTGCCGAGAGCCGAAGATCGTACCTCTTTTTATGTGGCTTGGACTTGTAGTGCTCCTCTCGAATTGCAGCAGACCCAAAGTACCGGCTGACGATCGAATCCATCCACAACACCCCACGAAACAACACGGGATTGATTACCCGCAAGTCAGAACCTCTCTCTCTCTCTCTCTCTCTCTCTCTCTCTCTC